GGGGGGGGGGCGGCAATCAGGCTCTGGCGTGCCCGTATCAGGGTGCAAACCCCTTTCTAGCTGCGTGGCCTCAAGCAAGGCACATGGCCTTTTTCTCCTGTTTCCACATCTACAAAACAGGAGTACCGTGCATCCGGCCTCCCAGGGCGGAGGGGAGCGTGGCGTAGGTTCAGACGCGGGACCTGCCCAGCCCAGTTGTGCTGTGCGGTTTTTGTAACCCCCGTCGATCTTCTGGTAAATGAAGCGGCTTAGGGCTCCATCCTCCCCGCCCCCGACCATCGCCCAGGGGCCTGCGTGGAGCCGCCCCCTCTGGTTTGGGTGAAGTTCACCATGTGCAGTTTAGGCAATGGGGTGGGAGGGAGGGACCCTTGTCGTCCAGGGGCTAAAGCCTATGGCCAGACGCCTAGAAAGTTGCCTTCATTTGGACTCCCCCCAGAAGCACAGCCTGAGATCAGGACTGAGTGCGAGGAATTTATCTGGAAACCCAGGGAACTCAGTGTGGGGGAGAGGAGTGAGGCGGGAGCCAGAAGGCAGCCAATACAAGGTGTGTTAATGGAGCCAGTTCCCACTGTGGGCAAAAGGGGCACAGTTCCCTTGAGGACCAGCAGGAGGCAGCAGAGAGCACATACTGCCGCCTCTTTCCACCTGAGGGGAGAGCCGGGGTATTTATCCTCCAAGGCCCATCAGTCATAATCAAGGGCTGCTCCCAGGGGGAGCCGTTTAATTTGCAACCAGAGAAAGACCCTGGGTGGGCAGAGCAACGGAAGGTGTGTAGGGGAAATATGAGGGGATGTGGGCAGGGCCCCAGCAGCATCTGCCAAAATACCAAAAGTGCCAGTGGAACATGAATTCCTTTTAGATGATTACGAAACAGCATCCATTCATTGAGCACCTGCTGTATAACCAAACTCCACCCCCCCCCCTTCACATTCATTATCTGATTGCTGTTATACCCCTGTCTTCCAGAAGAGGGCTCCAAGGCCCAACCAGTCCCAACTCTGAGACCCTTTCATTCCTACGCGCTGAAAATAGTTTGAGCCTGGAAAGCACAGCTCCAAAGCCTGAGTCCTTCTCTGTGAGGCAGAGGGGCTGCCTCAGGGCCAGACGCTCAGGGGAGGAACAGACCAATCAGAAGGGGACCTGCGAGCCCCAAGCTGGTCCCCGCTTTGTGAGGGTGCTGAGAAAGCCTGTGTTCGGTGTGGGTCCCACTGAGCCTGGAGGGGAGGGCTGTCTGTTTGAACCAGACCCTTGGATTCAGACAGAGGTGCTGCTCGGCATGGGCTCAAACGGTGTGGAATGTTTTCACCAATATTTCTCTGCGCAAAACCTGTTGGCTATAACTAGACACCGGCGGCCCCATCCAACCGCAAGGGGACCAGAAAGTGCAGCCTGGCACGTGCCCCGAAGGCGTTTCATGCCCCTGTTACCTTTCCCCTTCTTCAGATTAGGAAGTGGAAGAAATGAGAGGTTAAGTCACTGGCCCACAGCCATACAGCAGGATGATAACAAAGCTGGGATTCGAGCCCACAGTCCACTGTCTTAGCGAGCATGCTGTAGCAGGTGCGGTCTTGAACACAAACCCTAGACTCGAGCTGAGTTCAGTCCTGACCCTTCACCTTCTGAGGTGAGCAGCATCCCACTCCGAGCTTCCGTCGCCTTGGGTAAAGCGGGTGACAATCCTTTGCTCTGAGGGTCCATGTGAGGATCCCAGTGACATCGTTTATAAAGCATCTCGGGTCTCAGGGAGCCCTCAGATATGTCAGAGAGATAGGCAAGCCCAAAGGACAGCCCTCGTTCTCCAGCAGAGCGACACCGGGCCTTGGAGGCCCCCCCTGGGGCCAGGAGAGCCATGGGGGTCCCAGGGAGGGGGACTCAGAGCAGGTGATATTAAGCAGCCCATACAGCAGCACTTTGCTATTTGAACGACCACGCGTGTTGTGGGCACTCGGGCTGATCGGCAGCCGTGCCCCTAATGCACCCCGGGGCCGGCCGTGGCAGCCGGGCGTGGAGCCCTGTGTTGGCATCTCTGTCTTGTGGGTCCCCATTCTAGAATTATTTTCGTGATGCCTGGAACATCTTCGACTTTGTGACCGTTCTGGGCAGCATCACCGACATCCTCGTGACTGAGTTTGGGGTAAGTTTCCCACCAGCTTCTCTCTGGGTAGCTCCTGGCTGGGTGGAGGACGGGTGGGTGGGGGTGGGGGGGAGCCTTCCAAAAGCAGCGGTCCCCAAAGCCACAGCTGACTCGGGCCAGCACTTGACTGTGACCAAAGAGGGAGAAGCGGGGACCCCAGGGGCAAGGGCAGCCCCTCGGGAGGGCGGCTCAGGGAGACGGGGGAGCCCAAAGCCACAGCTGTGGGCCCAGCACTGCAGTGTGAACTTTCCTGCATCTCGGCTGTTGACCATTGAATCAATAATATGGATGAGTGCATTGAGATAATTAAAGGATCCCAAGGCTGAGCCCTACCCCCAAACCCCACACAGTGTTGGGGACCCAGAAAGAACGAGCTTCAAGTCCGTTCTGTTTGAACGAACCATCTTCTGGTTCGTGGAAGGAGGTTGAGGAGGGAGCCGTGGCCCTGGAGCCAACAGGGGATCCCACTCCTAGGTCCCCAGGATGTCCACCCTCTTCTGTCCCTAGACCTCCGTGGTGGCCCCATAGGCCGCATCATCCTTCCCCCTCATCTGAGAGACTCAGGGCCCCAGAGCTCCTATCTCAGATACCCTCTTTGGCCATTTTCGAGTAAGCCCAGGCCTGGGAGCCCTCAGGAAAGTGGTGGGGAGGGTAGGAAATCCTCACAAGGGGAGCAAAAAGGGCAAAGACTGTTGAAGCCAGGGGTGGGAAGGGATATCGACCTCATCAAAATAGCAGTAAAAATAATGGCCGACTTAGTTGTGTGGCAGGCACAGTGCCAAGCGATTCACGTGGATCAGCTCGTGGTACAGGTCAGGGGGTCAGTAGATAAAAGGATTCCTTTGGGAGGGTTTAACTGAAGGGATTGGAAAGCAGAGACTACTCACAGAGAGGAGGGGAAGAGGGCCGACCAGGATGGCAAAGCGCGGGGCACCCAGCCACCGTGAGGAGCTGTCACCTGCCCAGGTGCTGAAGCGGGGAGGAAATCTGAGCTGGGATGGGGAGGGGCCGCCCAGCAGGAGCCGTGGACCTGCGGGGACAGAGCCTGTGCCCGAGAGGAAGGCCAGAGCAGGCTCAGGGCATCAGGGGAGAAATAACCCAAGCCCATCTCTCCCCCTGCCCTCCATCTCCTGCCAGTGCTTCCCGTTGGCCAAGCCTAGCCAGAAGGGAGCCAGAAGGCCAGGGAGCAGGGGGTGGGGGAGGTGCTCAGAACAAGCAGAGAAAAGTGGAGAATACACCTGGTTGGGGTGTGGCCCGAGGAAGAGGGTGTTGCCCCATTTCACAGATGAGGAAGCTAGTGCCCAGTGCTCGGGGAAGCGAGGGACCTGCCCAAGGTCGTGCACGCACCCAGACCTGGTAACTCCTGAGGCTCAGGGGTGGCCCTGAGGTGGCCCATTAGAGCCCCCAGCAGAAAGGGGTCGATGGACCCATTCTCCCATCCTGGAAGGCCGACGGGACGAAAGAGCCACACAGAAAAGGAGGCCATTCTCTGATGGGTCCCCTGGCACCTCCCTCCCAAGTGGTATCCTGACCATACCTCTTTGCCCTGAGCTCCACTGAGCCAGAAATTCTCCCTTCCCTTCGTCCCATCCCTAACACCTTCCTCTAGGGAGGTCAGCGGGGGTGTCCCCGACCTGGGCCCCGTGCTCTGGCAGAGGACCAGAACCCCGGCCTCATCTTCTGTCCTGAGTCTCTAAGAGATCCAGAGCTCCGACTGGCAGTCACCCAGCTGAGCACAAGACAGCTTTGAACCAGTACGAGAGGTTGGAAGGGTGGCCCCGCACCCCCCGCAGAGCACGTGGAGGGAGTTGGTTGAAACCTCCAGTGGCCAGGAGTAAGCGGTCCATAGGGCTGGACCCCCTCGGCCCGGGCTCCGGACTGGCAGGACGGGGAAGGGCATCAGGGCTGTTCAGTGAGCCCAGCAGCCCTCCCCACAAGCTGTTTGACTTTGCCAGCCTACATCACCTCTGCTCCTGTAGCGTGGGGATAACTGTTGTAATTAACCTCCCTGGGTCCTTGCCAGCTTCACGTTCACACATGCACCCGGTAGGCACTCATTGAGCGCCTGCTGTGTGCCGGGCACTGTCGTAGGTGCTGGAGACCGTGAGCAAAGCCAGACCAGACAAGAACGCCCGCCCCCACAGGGCCGGCATTCTAGGGAAGGAGCTGGCAACCTTTAACACGCGTGAGCGAGCCACGTGAAGGGTTTGGCACAGAACCTGCCAGGAAATAGATCGTCCACAAATGGCGGTTGTTATTCTTACTGCTACAGCTGTTGCTATTATTACTGGGAGCGTCCTTGGGTCTGCAGTGGGCCTTCTACTGTACTTGGCTTTGCCAGTCACCTCCCCCACCCCAGCCCCCCGGGGCCCTGGATCAGAATCCTTTGGAGGGGGAAGGTGGAGGCTGGGTGTGTGGACCCTTTCGGGACGTTACGCTCCTCCCAACCTGGGCTGAGGGGAGGCCTGCCCTGCGGGGCAAGGAGCCCACAGCCACCCCTCTCTGCCTCCCAGGTAAGCCCGCCAGGTTCAGGCCAGAACCCCGCCAGGCTGAGGCAGGGGGCGCCAGACGCTTGGGAGGGCAGATCCCCAGGGTTGTGCGGGAGGGGGAAGGGCTGGAGGCCCACTGGGCCTCAGCTGCCGCCCCCTAGTGGCCGGGTGACGGGGGTTTGCCCTGCGTGCGATGGTTAATGACTGTTTCTTGTCTTGTCTCTTTTCATGCCTGCTCTTTAAACTGTATATTGGCACAACGCCGTCTGAAAAACTCATCCAATCAAAATGCACTATGAAATTCATTTGTTCATCCATGACATGGTCTGTGTGTTCATACACCAATGACTATCTCCCAACCCACCACCCCCACTCCCCGCCCGGGAACCGAAACCCATTGGTGTTTTGGCACTGGTTACAAATCAACCTAAAAAACGCTGAACACGCCTCCCCAACTGCCCC